TAGCAGTCCTGACCCCTCCCCTGTCACTTGGCGTGGCACGTGTTTAGGGAGCTAAACCTGCCCAGCGAAGGATCCATGGCCCTGGGCATTCAACACCAGACTCCTCAGGGACTTACGGGGGTTCCCTGTCCAGGCGGCTCCTGCCCAGGACACGTAGGGCCAGCACGCTCTGGTGGGCAGTGTGTGCCTTTGGAAGCAGTTCGGTCCTGGCCGTTGGCCATTTTGGGGTTGGGACTCTGAGGACCCCTCCCCTCCCAGGGTTCATCCAACCGGTGGAACCTGTGCCTACCCTGCTGATTTTGCTCGTGGCTTCATCCAGCCTTGTCCCCGGGGACCACCCGTGTCCCATCTCCTGTGGCCGCAGCCCCCGCCCGCCTGCCCTTTGGGGTCAGCCCCGCAAGCTGGGGTGTTTCCTGCTCTGGGGGCCTGTCCTTCAGCTCTGACTCTGATCCCAGCCCAGGGCTTCCAGAGTGTTCTGTGCGCTGTGTGAGCCCGCTCCCTTGTTGGTGAGTGCTTGGTCTGGCAGGATGGATGTTTCTCCTTCTGACAATAAGGGTCGTTCCGACTCTCTCAGCTTTCCCAAGACACATCGGCATGGGGGTCTCTGAGTTAAATGCCATTGCTTCATACACTGAAGAGTAACAAATGGCACGTTGTGAGAAATGACCTAGAATAGGCCGCCCACATTTCCTTGTAAAATAGTCAGGCAGCTAAACAGATGAAGAAAAACCACCGAGGCTCCTGGCTGCCGCAGGCACCAGCCTGCTTCCTGCGCGTCTGGCCGCGGTGGCCCAGCTGCTCCGCGCGTGAGGGGGCAGCTTGAGGCCTGAGGACGGCCTCCTTTCCCTGTTTACCTTTTATTACCGCCAAAGCATCTTGATGCTTCGAAGGCCCTTGGAAGAGAGAACGTTTGGATTGAGAACGTGTCAGAAGGAGTCCTCTGTTACTGCTCTCGATGGGTGGGGTGTGGAATCGATTGTGCAGAAGCTGTTTGCTCAGCGAAGTACTCGCCGCTCTGAGGTGGCCGCTGAAACGGTGTCTGTGAACTTGATCTTGCAGCCGGAAAGGCGTTATGACGGGTGGGCAGGGCCTGGCACCCGGGTGGGCCTTGCAGGCGCGGTAATGAGCCCCTGGGAGACCTGGAGTCCATGTGTGCGGCCGGACGGAGGTGCCACCTCCCGCCTCGGCTGCCACGATGGGCCTGCCAGGCAGGGCCTTAGCTGGTGAGCACACAGTCTGGGTCTGAGGGGCCACCCCTCTCCCAACCCTCCCCCACCTTCATACCTGGGACTCTGACATCTACCTGAACGCTGATGTTTTCAATTTTAAAGTTGTTTTTCCTTTAATCCATGCGCTTCATGAGGGCACTGACATTAGTCATCTCTGTGCCCACAGTGTAGGGACAAAGCCACCACCCAGGGATGAGGGAGCAATGCAGTGTGGGCCGTCATCTGTCCCATGGGACGCTGAGGAGTGAGGCACAGACACGCCACAGTGTGGCGGACCTTGAAAACACTTGCTCAGTGAGAGGAGCGAGACACAAAGGGCCACACGCCGCGTGAGCCCGTTAATGAGAAACGTCTGGAATGGCTAGTCCCTGGAGGCAGAAGGCAGACCGGTGTTCTCCAGGGGCTGGGTGGGGTTGGGGGGATGGGAGTGACTGCTGAAGGGCACAGGGGTCCTTTGCGGGGATGAAAATGTTCTTGGACAAAACAGTCGTGATGGTTACCCAACTCTGCACATACTACAACTCCCTGAATTGTATCTTCAAAGGGTGACTCTTATGGTCTGTGAATTAATCTCAGTAAAACAAGCCCCAAGCCAGCAGAGCACTTGCTGAGCGGATGGGGGTTAAGAGTGTCCTTTCCGGTTGCACACTCTTCCAGATACACGCCCATGAGTCCCAGAGGAGGGGCGGTGAGGCATCAGAGTCAGCCGGCTGGAACCTGATCTCGCTGGTGACCCTGCGTGAGGCTGCGCCCTGCAGGGCGCGTGTGCAGGGCTGTGGCCTGTCCAGGCCCGAGGCCGGCTCGCCAGCCTTGGGTGCTGTCCTGGAAACGCCCTCCCCTGTTTACCTTGCTGATTTCTGTTGTGAACAAAGAGCCTAGTGGGAGCTTGTTGATGGTGGCTCTTCAGCCGCACCTCAGTGTGACTCAGGAGCGTGTCGCCGCTGCCACCACCACCAAACCACCGCAGCCACGGAGTGAACGGTGCGGCGGGCTGGTATGAAGCGCCCGAGCGCACCGGGCTGTCGTGCTGTGTGGGCAACAGTGAGGAACGCAGGCTCTGGGGCCAGATGGCGGGTCCACAGCCTGCCCGCTGCTCACGGCTCACAGCTGGGCTGTGGCTGTTGTTCTGCACCTCGTTTTCCAAGGGGTGCAATGGTGGTGGCAAAAGAGTTGTGATGGCGCTTAAATGAGTTAATACATTTAAAACACGTAGAAGAGCGCCAGGCCTATAATAACCACTCACTAAAGGTTAGCAATTATTGAAATTACTGTCATTTTCCCCCACTTAAAACTCTCTAAATGCATTCTGGACCGAAATGTTTCTTTTCTTGAAGAACGTTTTCCTTGCAAAGATGCCAGGCACATTTGCAAAAATCAAACAAAAGTAAATAAAATAAAAAAACAGGATACACAACTTTTTAAACACTGATGAGTGTTATGCTGGATGAACGGCAATTTTGTTTAGGATCTAAGATCTAAAATTAGTTTGTTCACATATCTGATAAGCCATTTCAATTAGGCATCTGTTCTGCATTTTCTTCCTTTTTTTTTTGGAATTCACATGCAGAAATTTTATTTTTTTTGGAACCGAGTCAGTGGAATTGTAACAGCTGTATACGATGTCAGAGGGGCAGTAGATTGGAGGAGGGGGTCGTTACTATGTGAGGGGTGTAAATGTCTAACTATTACATTGCTTTGTACTGAAACTAATAAAATAAAAAATAAAATTTCTGCTCTGCATTTTCAAACTTTTCAGTTCCGTTTCCTCACCAGGTGTTTTATTCTTGAAGAAGGAAGTTACTCAGAGCCCTGTTGCCTGTTCTTTCTCTCAAACGTGTCTGTCTGTGTTGCTGCTTTCCTGGGTCTTTGCTCACAACACACGCACACTGACCGGCTGCGGTTCGGAATTTGTAACCTTGAACACAGGTGTTTAGAGCAGTTATTACCGATTTCATATGTCAGTGCATTAGAAGCAGAATTTTAAAAATGTTCTGAGAAAACTTCCAGATCTCTGTCAGGAATAAGTAATACATTTAGGCTCTCTCTTATTAGGATGCAGCGTGCCTGAGAAACAATCATTTACAGTGTATTAATTATGTTAATTGATCGGGGAGGATTCAGAATATTAATTATCTGCAGCTAATTAGGTATTAAAATTGAGAACCATTAAGTGATGAGACCACTCGAGTCATCTAGTTAGAGCCAGACAAATGGCAGTGGGCAGCGTGCTGCGCACGTGTCTGCCAGGCCGCGCGCGTCCCCGCCGTGCTGCGCCCTTGTGCCCTAACCGCTCCCTGTCTCTTCCATGCTCGCGCAGAGGACGACGACGTGGACGCTGCCGACGTCTCGCGCGTGCCCGCAGAGGTGCTGTGCAACGTGGAGGCCGACACGTACTGGTGCATGAGCAAACTGCTGGACGGCATTCAGGTGAGCCCTGCGCTCGGCCTCGGGGGGCCCACACCTGCTTCCGAGCCTCCGCTTGGCCACTGTCCTCAGGGGGACTCGGGGGACGAATCCCGTGCCCACCTCTGCTTCTGAAGACGCTCGTGGCGGCCTGCTGAGGCTTCCAGCGGGGGGGCTGGGGCTCTGCCCTGCAGTCTGGTCTCCACAGGTCCTGCTGTCTGCCACTCCGAGTGGCCCCAAACGTGCGCTGTTGTCTACCAGCCGCTGCCATGGGCCGCAGGCGGAATTCACAGGAGTCTGCCCCGTAAAGGCATCAGACTTGGGGCCTGAGCATCTCACCTGTGACACCAGGACCTGTGAGCAGACAGCCCCATGCGCCCTGCCGGCCCTGGTGACCAGGGATCTGAGTGCTCTCTAAGCTGTGGCTGTCACTGGTCCCAGAGGGAAGCAGGCGCTGGAGGAAGCCTGCTCCCCGCGGCTGGGCTCTGCTGGGTTCCTTGTCAACGGGGGCCGATGAGTGGGATTTTCGCAGAAAAGCCACAGGTCTCCCAGTGCGGGGGATGGTTTTACAGAAACAGTTTGGGGGGGTGAACCCTGCACTGTGCCTGGGAAGGGCGTTGTTGGCAACAAAGAGCAGGACCGAGGACTGGAGCCTCCCGATGGCCCTCAAGTGGAGGACATGCCATCCTCAGCTCCTTCACACCCTCACACCTTTCCTAGACGCCTTCTCCATGCT